AGCCTCCGAATCAATGATGCATTCTATTTTGCATGGAATTATTTTCTGCTATTCACTAACTTCTGTCTTTCCGCTTCAATAAATGATTATTCTCAAAATAAAGCATTTGTCGTGCATATGTGGTGCCTTTTTAAAGTTTTGAGTGTTTGGATTAGGCATATAGCGATTATGTCTCGGGGTTTTTGAATTTTCATGTGAATGTCTCACTCATAATGCATAATATTATTGAGTACTGTTAAAGCTTCAGACTTGTTCAACAAATCGTTTTTTAAAAAAGCAGAAAAGTTGAATTTTCAGTCTCAGTTCATGCATAATTTGGATCTCATCAAATAACATTTGCTTAGTTTTTTTTCTATACAGTAACGCCCTGAAATAAAAGGTTGTTGTATAGTCGATGCCTAAGATAACCGATCAGTCAACGTCTATCTGTTCAGAAGAAAAAAAAAAGTTGTTAATCTAAATATTGATCAAATACAGAGTCCCATTCCATCATGATGAAACCAACATGAAGGTCCTGCATAAAATGTCAAGGAAACTTGTATTATTCGATTTTCATTTTATTCTTGTGATAGATTATTTTGATCGTCGAGAATATGGATGTGTGGGTGTGGGTGTAGATGAGAAGAACAACTACACTCCACACCAACATCCTTGTTGATGATGATGATATTGAATTAATTAAGAATTGAAGAATAAATGGTACTAATGAATCAATTTTACAAAATTTTTGCCAATTTGAACAACGCTGAATACTTTTTTTTCCATCTATGATATCCAAAGAAAAAGAGATATTTAATAGATTGTTGTTTTTGTTATTCTTTACTTATTCCCAGTATGATAATATTGTTGGAATTTGTGCTAATAATTCAGAATAAGCTTCAAAAACATCACTTGGATGATGTTTTGTAAATTGTTTATAAAAAGAAAGGTGATTAAATCCGATAATGATTGTTGATATTGTTGACACCATTTAGTGATAAAACAGTTTATTTTTATAATAAATATTTATAAACAATAATTAATAACATTTGATTTATCGAATTGTTTAGCTGCTATTAATAATAAATGTATATATTGTTTACATTCATTTGGATGTACTAATATATAACGAACAAATTGTTGATTATATTTATGAGATTTCGAAGCAAAGTCAATA